TGGCAAGCAGAAATGCCAACGACGAGACACGACTGGCACAACACTGGCTCGATACTGACTCACCCCAACGACGCTTCTCGATTTCTCTCTCACTGGCTTCTCGGCGGCTGTTTTCCTCAGGGATAACTAGGGAATAATCCAAAAGAAAAACAACTTCACTTCTCTTCACACTCTTTATTAATCCTTTTCTCGGCACGACACTCTAATTCCTTGACACACTCAAAATTCGACAAAAACTATAACACTTGACAAGTCTCTTAACACAATACTCTCTACACACCTCGCAGACCAACTTTCCTACATATCTCGTAGGTCACTATCTACACACGTCGTAGACCAACTGATTACAAAATGTCGGCGAAAAACTACCGGCACCTGTTTCTCGCTTTTCTCAACACGTGCTCGGCTTCTTCGTCTCTTCTTCTCTCTCGTTCCGATGGCTCTTCTCTCTCTATCTCTTTCTAATAGGCAGCGGCTCTGCCCTCTACCACTTTCTCTCCTACTAACTAGCCGCGCGACACACATTCACCACTGATAGTGGGTCACACGGCAGTTTCGACTTTCTAAATTACCATACCAATTAACGATCACGGTTCAGGGATAATTCCGACAGATGACATGACGATTCCGAATTTCGACAAAATAAAGAACGACAATTCACATCGTCACAATATATATATATATTATCCCACATTGGTGACCCCGAGGAAGAGCATCGCACACCTCGTGTTAAATCGAAATATATCTGCTTATTCAAGAATCATCCAAAAGTTAAAAGTCATGAATCTCGATAAAAAACAATAGTGAGCATCAGGCGACAACATATTTCGTATAAAAATTCAATAATTATTGAATATTTTAATAAACATCATACACGACCGCATGGCAATCACTGAAACCGCCATATTGGAAAAGCAAACGCATTTTACTTCCATCGTTTTCCACTGCCGATGAGGAACCCTGGAAATATTCTTCTAAGGGATTTGTGATGTCGAGGAAGGACATGCTGTTCAGACTTCTGTAATATCATTTTGCTGCCAGTCCAACGCAACATTTTTGCTGATTGATGGTGTGAAGGAGTTTAAAATTTTTTTTACGCTTTGGAGAACTGAACATTCCGCCCATGCAACAGGTATGTGACGATCTTACTTACTTGGCTGCTTTTAACAGTTTTCCGCCCCCCTTATGATTTGACTCATTTCATGAAATGTTCCTGACTATCCTCTGATTGGGTATGACCTTCATTGCATCCTTTGAATCAAGAGGTACGCTCACATGTCATGGATTTTGTCGAGGACTGATTTCAACACACCGGAATACCATTGGAATGGAATTTACCTTTTTTATGTACGGCAACATAACCTTCAACAGGAGTTTCACCGCCTATTTGACATTCATGGTTTGCTTAAGTATTTTAACATATTTATTATTGTAATCGTTTTGGCGAATATTTGCATACGTCGTTTAAATCTCTTGCTAAAAAAAATTAAAAATTAAAAATTCATTTTTTTACATTTGCGATTTGGAGAATTATTATTCTAAAGATTATTCCAAGTAAAAGTAGTTATAAAGAAACTCGAACTTGATTTAAAAATAATTAGAATTCACACTTGAATATTTGCTTATCTTGTAGAAATAACAGTGTCCTTTACATTAAAAGTAATCAACACTCTTTCAAGGAGACAAATAATTAAAAATAACATTCATCATTATCTTTTATATATTTCATTTTAATGGTGATAATTTAAAATAATATTTTATTTTAAGAGATTTTATAAAAGTTTTTCTCTACAATTTAATTAATGTCTATTGGTTTATTTAAAAAAGAGAAAAAGTTAAATTAATTTATCGCCTCATATTTTATTTGCGAAAAGATGCGAATTGTTTTGACTACACCTTATTTTATCGACAAAATTTTGTGTATTGTGATTCTTGTTTTTATTATACGACTAATTTGGATGGTCACGTCTTCTGTTAATTTGGTTCGCAACGGTTTATTTTTTTATTATTGAAGACGAAGATTTTTTTAAAAAAAAAAATAAAAAAAGAAGAAAAAATAATAATAATATAATGCATTTATACGTTTTTGAGGACCGAGAGGAATAATTAACATATTTTTTTTGATATTTTTGGGAATTGTTTATTTCCAACACGAACATTCAAGCGATTTAGTTAACATTTTTTTTCTTTGCATTATTTTTTTCCCTTTTTTTTGAAAAATGAATGTTGGGAATCGTCCTGCCGACATGTCGGGTGATCCTTTGCGACCGGGACCTTTTGCCCAAGTGCATTTGCCCCTTAGTTTTGAGGGAGTTTTCGGGAATTCACGTCATCCAGGTAGAATAGCTCAGGAACGGAACAACGTGTACCGACGTCTCCCACGACTTCCTTCTTTTTGCAGGTCGGACCCTGCCCTTTGGTTCGCTCAGATCGAACTTATTTTTTAATCTTCCGGTATTTTCGCGCAGCGTTGTAGGGCTGGTGCTGTCGTATCAGTTCTCGATTTCGAGGTCGTCCAAACTCTCGGTGACCTATTAACAAACAACAATTGCATCGAGGATTTATATTTTCAAATAAAGGAAAGAATCATCAAAAACTTTTCTGTATCTTCGGAAAGCGCATTAAGAAGTATTTTGAGGGGCGAGGTGATCGGCGACGGTAAACCATCTTTGATATTAAATAGAATTAGGCATTTGGCTCGTGGCAGATGCAGTGACGAGATTATTAAAACAATTTTTATGGAACATCTTCCCCCTAATTGTCGTTCTATTTTGGCTGTTTCTAACACGGAGGATTTAACAATTTTGGCTTCGATGGCCGACAGGATCGTTTCATATAATAATTTCGAGACTAGCGTATCTGCGGTTTCCGTCGAGAATAGTATTATGTCTAGACTTGATGAAATGAGTGCTCGAATTGATGAGCTTTCGATTAGGTCCCGTCCTCGGAACAAATCATATCGTGGAGATCGTTCTAAGTCGCGTTCGGGTTAAAGATTTAAGGGGAGGTTCCCATCGCGGGAGTCAAAAAAATTGATTTCTTTTTTATTGTATTTTTTGAAAGCTATATATATGTAGAATATGTGTGTATACCGATTTTTTGATCCGAAGAATATTTTCGATTTTATAGAGTCTTGAACTAACCGACGTCCCGAGCACTAAGTAACAAATGTCAGGCAAATCACATCAATTTTTAAAAATTTTGCAAATCTGACCTCAGAATCGTAAAGAGAGACCCTAAATACCTATAGATATTTATCATATACGCAAATTGAACAAAGAATTGCAAAGAATACAATTATTGCACAAAAATGTTTTTCAAGCTAAACGCGTTTTTCTCGAAACAAGATTTTTTAAACTGGTGGGCATCGTAGCGTCTAAACTATTTAATCAATCAACTTCGGGTTTGTGGTTTATTAAAGGTAACTAAATTCTACAGGGGTTATACCTATAATATGATAAAATTGTTAACAATACAGATTTTTACAAGAGGTCAAATATGGAAAAATAATGCAAAAACGCACTTTTTTTAAAAATGTGTCCGCCATTTTGTCATTTTGTTAACTTTTTAACTATTTTATAGGTATAACCTATTCTTTAGGATGTCATCTTTATAAAAAATTTTGAGTTTCTGTTTTAGACTAAAAATTGCGCAGTGTAGAATGCCCACCGTTTTCCTTATTTAAAAAAACATTATTTTCTAGATGCGCCATATTGGCCGCCATTTTGCATTTTTTTGAAAATGAAATATATGTTGTAAAAGTTCAAGAATGTATCTTTATTTAGAAAAAAAACTAAATCGCTAAGTCATAGCCGTTCTTTGCAAAAAATTGTCAAAGTTTGTGTTTATTTTGGCCTCTGCAATGAGAACCTCCCCTTAACCAGGGCAAATCGCGTGATCGTGGTTCTGGGGATCGTAAGTTTTGCTATTACCATGACAATTACGGACATAATGCTCATAAGTGTGTGGACCCATGTTCTTATCCCAAGTAGAATAGTAAATTTGTGAAACCTGATTCGGAAAACTGAAATCGCCAATCCGTGTTGAGGCGAACGGTATAATGGCGAAATCCGAACGCCTTTTCGTTTTTGATCGTAAATCAGGTCTTAATTTTCTTATTGATACAGGCTCCGACATTTCATTGGTTCCCGTTGAAGCCAAGAACAAACTGAAACCCGCCGATTATGTTATTTATGCTGCTAATAATACGCACATAAATACATACGGTGAGCGCAGAATCAGTCTTGACCTTGGTCTTCGGCGTTCCATCTCTTGGAACTTTTGCATCGCGGCAGTTCCATATCCAATAATAGGAGCTGACCTCCTTTCTGCTTTCGGTTTGAATGTTGACCTTCGAAATAGGAAATTAATTGATTCATTTACTAATTGCTATTCTACAGGTGAATTGGGAATTTCGGTTTTCAATATTGGGGTTGTTGACAATTCTTCTGCTTTTTCAAGTATCCTCATGGAGTTTCCATCTTTTGTTGGTTTGAATCAGTCTTCCGAGGTTACAACAAATGGTGTTATGCATCATATTTTGACTAATGGTCCTTCGGTCGCCGAGCGAGCTCGTCGATTGTCTCAGGATAAAATGATCACTGCCAGGGAATATTTTCGAGGTCTTGTTGAGTCTGGTCAGTGTCGCCCATCTAGCGCAGCTTGGGCATCGCCCCTTCACATGACCCCTAAGAAGAATGGGGAGTGGAGATGTTGCGGGGATTATCGTAGGCTTAATTCGAGAACTATTCCCGATAAGTATCCAGTTCCTTATTTGCAGGACTTTACGAATATTTTATTCAGAAAATCAATTTTTTCTAAATTGGACTTATTCTCCGCATACAATCAGATTCCGATTTCACCTGAAGATGTTCCTAAAACTGCGGTTATTACGCTGTTTGGTCTCTTTGAGTTCACAGTAATAAACTACGGTTTGAGGAATGCTGGTCAGACCTTCCAGCGATATATCAATCGGGTGCTGGGAGATCTTGAATTTGTTTTTACCTATATAGATGATATCCTGATAGCTTCTCCGTTTGAATGTTAGTAAGTGCCAGTTTGGCTTGTCTGAGATCGATTTCCTCGGTTATATCGTGGGTGCCGATGGGATTAGGCTTACCTCTAAAAAAGTGAAGGCTATTGTGGATTTTCCTCGTCCAAGGACATTGTTGGGGCTTCGAAGATTTCTGGGTATGATAAATTTTTACCGTCGTAGTATTTCTCACGCTGCTGATATTCAGAGACCCTTGAACGCATTTCTCCATGATTCTAAGAAGAATGATCACAGGGAGGTTGAGTGGTCTTCTCAGTCTATTGAAGCTTTCGAGAAGTGCCGAAGTAGTATCATCGATATTACAATGCTTATCCATCCTGATTGTAAGGCTCAAACCAGAGTAGTTTCTGATGCATCCGATCTGGGTATGGGAGCATCACTTGAGCAATTTCAACGTGGTTCTTGGAAGCCATTGGCTTTCTTCTCTCGTAGCTTTAATGCCGCGCAAAGAAACTATAGCACCTATGACCGCGAACTCACGGCTGTTCATGAAGCAATTAAGTATTTTAGGCATTTTTTGGAGGCTAGAGATTTTCATATTGAAACTGATCATAAACCTCTCATTTACGTTTTCAATCATAGGTCCGAGAAGGCTTCTCCGCGACAATTGCGTCAGCTTTCGTACATTTCGCAGTTTACAACCGATATCAGATACTTACCTGGTGATGAGAACGTCGTTGCTGATAGTCTGTCCCGCACTGATTTTATCCGCGTCGCTTCTGATGTTACCTTTGTTGAGTTGTCCATTGCTCAGGGGGACGATCAGGAAATCGAGTCTTTAATTAAAGAGGGGAATACTTCCCTTAACCTTAGTCGCATGCTCTGGGGTCCTGATCAAACCGCAGTGTTATGTGATGTCTCTGGGGAAGTTATTCGTCCATACGTTCCAGTCTCCTTGCGTCGTAGGATTTTTGAAATTTTTCATAACAATGCTCACCCAAGTGGCAAGGTGACTGATCGCATCATCCGTAAGAGCTATGTATGGTTAAATATGAACAAGGATATTAAAGATTGGTGCAGAAATTGTGTTGAGTGTCAAAGGTCAAAAGTCCATCGTCATACTGTCTTGCAACCCGCTCATTTTTCTGCTCCCGATGGTCGTTTTCCTCATATGTGACGCTCCACGAGAAAAGGGACCTTATGACTTACAGACGAATTTTGCAGGAGAGGCATTTAAAGTGGAACCACTCTGATTGGTCAAGACGTTTCATTGAAAGTCAGTCCCACTACTCACTTCACATTGATAGTTATCCATGTTACACGAAGCGCATGAGTTGTATGTACATAACCTGTGTAGTTGTGTTAGAAAGTAGAGGGGCTGATTTTCTAAACAACCGGGTGTAAACACTAAAAAGGTTCATTTTTAAACATTGATAACAAAAAAACCTGTAAGTAGAAATTATTTTTGCCTTTTGTATATGGAAGAGCAACTCAAAAAGTACGGAATGATATAAATAACTCAAAATTAATTTTTTTGCAGCTAAGGTCCCTTTTCTCGTGGAGCGTCACATATACATATGGACATAGTTGGTCCATTGCCAATTTGTGAAGATTACAAATATTGTTCAACGATTATAGACCGCTTTTCGCATTGGCCGGAGGCCATACCATTGAAGAACATCGAGGCTATGACAATTTACCGTGCATTCGTGGATGGCTGGATATCTCGATTCGGAACGCCAGAGACTTTGACCACCGATCAGGAGAGCCAATTCGAGTCCCGGATTTTTTCTTCGTTGTTAAAGCTGTCGGGCTGCCATCGAATTCGTACGACCTCTTACCACCCTGCTTCAAATTGAGTAATCGAGCGTTGGCATCGCACCCTGAAGGCCGCGATAAGATGTCATTCGGGAAAAAAGTGGATTCATGTTCTCTCTACCGTCCTCCTCGGTCTCAGATCCAATGTCATGGAGGTCGGTTCCTCTCCAGCGGAATATATGTACGGTACAACCCTGAGGATCCCGGAAGAATTCGTTCTTCCGGAGGAGTTTTCTCCCGAACCTCAGATCTTTCTCGAAGAATTTAGGGAGCACATGCGTGAGGTCAAATCTGTCCCGGTCGAACATAAACACAAAAGAAAAATATTCTTTCATAAGAATTTATATAACTGTTCACACGTTTTTTTGAAAGTTGGTACTTTAAAAAAGTCGCTTGATTGTCCGTATGCTGGTCCACACAAAGTATTGAACCAGAGAGAAACTGAGAGTGGTTATGTCCATAGTAAAGGTAACTATTAAGTTAGTAGCGCCACCGTGGTCGCTGGGCGAAACGATGTCCGTAGAATAGATAATTACCTAAATTTTTCCAGTTTTCTGCATTATCGCGATTACGTTGCAGACATCATCCATCTGATTTCGATCACTCACACAGACGCGATGTCCGCGTAAACAATCGGAGCGATTCGTGAAACTTCGGTTATGGTCGAAGATCGACAAAAAATCCAATGCATAGTATAAAGCTGGAGAGAATTCTAATCTCACGTGTTCGACATCGCGTGTCAATTTTGCATTAATGGAAATTTATGGTGGTCACAAGTTTCAGTTAATAAATATCCCTGACAATTTACAGACATTAAAATTATGATTTTTCCTGACAAAATTCTTTAAACAAACAAAATTCAACAAACAAAATATGAAAGTTTATGGAAAATGAGTAAAATTTATGAAATTGAATAATTTCTTATAATTATAATCATAACCCTTCCTGAATTTATTTTCAATAATTTTTAACTCACCTTCACCTCTAAATCAATTATTTTCAATTAATTTTTTAAAAGTTCTTTTGAAGAATTTTAATTATAAATATGACTATGATTTAGCAAAAATTGTATTAAGTCAAAAAAGTTAATTTTTATTGCTTTATTCGAAGATCATTAAATATTAAAAAATCCTAAGAATTAAGTGGTTTTTAAAAAGATTTTAATGTAATTTTTCGAAAATAATTGAATTTCTTAAAAGAGTTTTTGTATATTATTTTAAAAAAAATAAATAATTTTTTAATGAATTTTAATTAAATACTAGAAACAATTCGCGAGCCGACTTCTCACTCACTTTTTAAGATGAAATTAGCGATTTTAGAAATTATAGAACGTAAAAATTTGTAATTCAAATTTTTCTTTATAAAAATAAAATATGAATTGGAATATATAGTTTTAATATTACAATAATTAAAATAATCATATATTCTGACATACTAAATTAAAGCAAAAGTCAGAAATTTATATTAAAAGTACTGAAAAAATTAAATTTTTAGAATTCATAAAAATTTTTGAATTTTTGTGTTTTTTTGTTTAGACTCATAAACGATAAATATTACGAATTCTAATACAAAACCTTAAATTTTTTAATTTCTGACAAAAATATATTTTTAAATAACTTAAATCTTGAACAATTATCATAAAATAAATAAATTATTTATTGAATAATTTTACTTAAATATCTCAAAATTAATTCAATTTTAAAAGAGATATAAATAAAATTTTAAACGGTTTCAATTTGAAATTTTATAAAATTTCAATGTTAAATAAATTTAATTATAAATTTTAATGAATCATTTTTGAACAATCTTAATAATTCAAAATCTTCTAAAATTAGTTAAATTTATCAATATATATTTAATTAATTATTAAAAATAATGGATTAATAGAAGAATTTTAGTTAAAAACACTAAAAAAATTGAATTTTGAAGAAGTTACAAATGATCGCAGGAATTCAATTATTTTCAAAAGTTATACAATTCTTATCCCAAAATTCAATTATGTTCAAAATTTACAAAAAATCACGACAAAATCCCAATTATTCTCTTTAAAAATAAAAAAATTTCTCTTCAAATTTCAATATTATTTTCAAAAAATTTTCTCATATTTCAATATCTACTATTTTAATAAAATTACCTAAAAGAATTCAATTTAAAAACAATTTTAATAAAATTGTACGCAATTTTATTTTTTCACAGGAAATTTTTTCATAGGAATTTAAATATTTACAAATTTTCTATAAGTTTCTTCTCAATAATTCAATTATTTTCAGAAATAATAAAACTCATCGCAGAATTTCAATTATTTTTAATACAATTTTAATCAAATTTTTTGAAAAATATAACTATTCCAAAAAATTTTATTTAAATTCGTCAAAAGAATTTAATTTTTTTCAAAATTTGTTAATAAAATTCTTTATAAGAATTAAATTTTAAGAAATGTGCAATTATTCAATAAATAATTTACTTTTGTATTTTAATAATTAAATTCTCGTAGAATTATCTAATAAAAATTGATTTGAAAATGAATTTTATTTTAAATTTTAGATAATAATAGTAGAATAAAAAAATAGTTTTTTATAAGTTACAGTAACAATATTCTTATAATATGAAAATTTTAATTAAATTTTTTAATTGACAAATATAATTTATAAACATTTTTTTTTATTTATTTTTAAAAAACTTTGAATTTTAATAAAACAATTAAATTTCAGAAATAGAATTGATGCAAATTATTTCCTTATACAAATTGAGAATTTTCTAGAAAAATATTAAGAAATGGGAATATCTAATGTTTTTCTTGACAAAAGAAAAAATGAGTTTGTAAACAATATTCTTATTGATAAATAAGAATATATTTATAGAATAAGAATATATTTTGCTAAATCATAGTCATATTTATAATTAAAATTCTTCAAAAGAACTTTTAAAAAATTAATTGAAAATAATTGATTTAGAGGTGAAGGTGAGTTAAAAATTATTGAAAATAAATTCAGGAAGGGTTATGATTATAATTATAAGAAATTATTCAATTTCATAAATTTTACTCATTTTCCATAAACTTTCATATTTTGTTTGTTGAATTTTGTTTGTTTAAAGAATTTTGTCAGGAAAAATCATAATTTTAATGTCTGTAAATTGTCAGGGATATTTATTAACTGAAACTTGTGACCACCATAAATTTCCATTAATGCAAAATTGACACGCGATGTCGAACACGTGAGATTAGAATTCTCTCCAGCTTTATACTATGCATTGGATTTTTTGTCGATCTTCGACCATAACCGAAGTTTCACGAATCGCTCCGATTGTTTACGCGGACATCGCGTCTGTGTGAGTGATCGAAATCAGATGGATGATGTCTGCAACGTAATCGCGATAATGCAGAAAACTGGAAAAATTTAGTTAATTATCTATTCTACGGACATCGTTTCGCCCAGCGACCACGGTGGCGCTACTAACTTAATAGTTACCTTTACTATGGACATAACCACTCTCAGTTTCTCTCTGATTGAACCGTGTTTCGGACAGAATTTTCGAGATCGATATAAATGGGATGAGATTCGG